TTCTTCTTCTCCTTCTTCTTTTTCCTTCTTCTTCTTCTCTCCTTCTTCTTCTTCTCCTTTTTCTTCTCTTCTTCTCCTCTTCTCCTTCTTCTTCTTCTCTTCCTTCTTCTTCTCCTTCTCCTTCTTCTTCTCCTTCTTCTTCTCCTTCTTCTTCTTCCCTTTTTCCCTTTTTCCCCTTTTTTCTCTCCTTCTTCTTCTTCTCCTTCTTCCCTTTTTCTCTCCCTTCTCCCCCCTTCTCCTCCTCCTTCTCCTCCTCCTTCTCCTCCTTCCCTTTTCCTCCTTCTTCTCCTCCTTCTTCTCCTCCCTTTTTTCCTCCTTTTCTCCTTCTTCTCCTTCTTCTCCTCCTTCTTCTCTCTTCTTTCCTTCTTCTCCTCCTTCTTCCCTCCTTCTTTTCCTCCTCCTTCCCCCTCCCCCTCCTCCTTCTCCTCCTTCTCCTCCTTCTCCTCCTCCTTCTCCTCCTTCTCCTCCTCCTCCTTGTGTGCGAGTGTGTGGCTTATAATTGTTTTTAGTCAGAAGTCGGCAGCTGTAAAAGTGACATATTATCTCATTAGTCACTACCCCTACCCTGTCAAAACAATGGGGTGGGATGCTGCTTCCCCTCCTCCATTCTATCTAATTATCTTTCTCCCTCATTCTATATCTTTCAAATCTGTCTCTCTTTCTGTCTGCCTATCTTTTGTCTCACGGGTTTACACATAAATACAAGTATACATAGTGTAAATTACCTAGATAACCCAAGAAATCCAGACAAAGTGTTTATCTCTGCTTAAAAGATGTGAGTAAACGTGATGACACAGTCTTTTTGGCTCTCTCTGAGACAGAGAGCTAGATGGACAGACAGGGAGCTGACAGACAGACAAATAACAGACAGAAATGTTTGTGTCCCAGCAAAAAACAAAGGGAGGCGATGGTCATGTAATATTACCCTCCTTTTCGCTCATCAAAGTCAGCTCTTATCAGATGTTATCTCCCCTTATCTTGTCACTGTCAAAGGGTGGACTTTTTTTTTCTTGCTTCAAGGGAACAATATTATTATTACATCTTCTTCTTCCTCCTCCTCTTCTCCTCCTCCTCCTCCTCTTCCTTCCCCCCTCCTCTTCCTTCCCTCCCCTCCTCCTCCTCCTCCTCTTCCTCCCTCCTCCTCCTCCTTGCTTTTGGTCTCAAACTCCCCAAATCATGAAATTGATCTTCACTGACACTTCCATCTGTGTTAGAGCATCACTTGGAAGAGAAGAGTCCCAGATTTGCTGGGGAATCACATATTTCTTACCACTAGACATGCTGAAAAATGACAACTGAAATGGCATTCCCACAATGCACCACTGGCTCCCCGATTTTTTTTATATGGTGCACACTGACCATGGAGACCCATTCTCTCACATGTGGGCCTAGCAGCTTTCTCCTGCTTGATTTGAAGCTGCTAGAATTTATGCGTATAAATACGTCAGAAACATTGGCTCGTAAGACGTATTTATACGTCGGAAACAGTCAAAGGGTTAACTACATATTGAAAGTGAAGAAATATTGGGCTATGCATTTCCCCATGCTTGAAGTAATAAAACATACTGAAACACATTTAATATCATTAGAAACTAGCCTATGTAGTGTTAAACATTAAAAAAAAATAAAGCTGAAAAATCATAATTTGGCATTAATAGTAAAACGTAAATATCACTGGTGCATTTACGTTTTTGCCAACAAATGGTTATTTTCACAAATTTCAACACCATGAAATTGAAAGCTTTTATGAAATTTCACTTATTTTAGTCTTACTTGATTCATAAAAAGAAAACATTCAATTTGTAAGATTTTTTTTTCTTTCTTTCTTTCTTTCTCCTCCTCCTCTTCCTCCTCCTCCTCCTCCTCCTCCTCCTCAAAATCTTGCCTCCACACAGTAATTTTAATTTTTGGGAGCTCCATATTTAAGAGGTTAAGTGGTGGCAAGCTTTATAAAATACAGTAAGACATAGTATGAAGAAAGGACATAATTTTGTATTTGCGGCAGGATCATATGGTATGCGGGAAGTTTTTTCTGTTAACCATAAGAGTACATTATTGTTAAAGTTTCTCCTTTATTATTTTATATTATATTTTCATGTGCATTTCCTCAAAGATATGTTTATTCATTACATGTAGAGTATATTATAATTTTCAACAAATATTGTAATATTTATTTTATTAGCACACTTGCCGATTCCCACCAAGGCAGGGTGGCCCGAAAAAGAAAAACTTTCACCATCATTCACTCCATCACTGTCTTGCCAGAAGGGTGCTTTACACTACAGTTTTTAAACTGCAACATTAACACCCCTCCTTCAGAGTGCAGGCACTGTACTTCCCATCTCCAGGACTCAAGTCCGGCCTGCCGGTTTCCCTGAATCCCTTCATGAATGTTACTTTGCTCACACTCCAACAGCACGTCAAGTATTAAAAACCATTTGTCTCCATTCACTCCTATCAAACATGCTCACACATTCCTGCTGGAAGTCCAAGCCCCTCGCACACAAAACCTCCTTTACCCCCTCCCTCCAACCTTTCCTAGGCCGACCCCTGTCCCGCCTTCCTTCCACTACAGACTGATACACTCTTGAAGTCATTCTGTTTCGTTCCATTCTCTACATGTCTGAACCACCTCAACAACCCTTCCTCAGCCCTCTGGACAACAGTTTTGGCAATCCCGCACCTCCTCCTAACTTCCAAACTACGAATTCTCTGCATTATATTCACACCACACATTGCCCTCAGACATGACATCTCCACTGCCTCCAGCCTTCTCCTCGCTGCAACATTTATCACCCATGCTTCACACCCATATAAGAGTGTTGGTAAAACTATACTCTCATACAGTCCCCTCTTTGCCTCCAAGGACAAAGTTCTTTGTCTCCACAGACTCCTAAGTGCACCGCTCACCCTTTTCCCCTCATCAGTTCTATGATTCCCCTCATCTTTCATAGACCCATCCACTGACACGTCCACTCCCAAATATCTGAATACATTCACCTCCTCCATACTCTCTCCCTCCAATCTGATATCCAATCTTTCATCACCTAATCTTTTTGTTATCCTCATAACCTTACTCTTTCCTGTATTCACTTTTAATTTTCTTCTTTTACATACCCTTCCAAATTCATCCACCAACCTCTGCAACTTCTCTTCAGAATCTCCCAAGAGCAGTGTCATCAGCAAAGAGCAACTGTGATAACTCCCACTTTGTGTGATTCTTTATCTTTTAACTCCACACCTCTTTTGAAGACCCTCGCATTTACTTCTCTTACAACCCCATCTATAAATATATTAAATAACCACGGTGACATCACACATTTGTCTAAGGCCTACTTTCACTGGGAAATAATCTCCCTCTTTCCTACATACTCTAACTTGAGCTTCACTATCCTCATAAAAACTCTTCACTGCTTTCAATAACCTACCTCCTATACCATACACCTGCAACATCTGCCACATTGCCCCCCTATCCACCCTGTCATACACCTTTTCCAAATCCATAAATGCCACAAAAACCTCTTTAGCCTTATCTAAATACTGTTCATTTATTGTATGTTTCATTGTAAACACCTGGTCCACACACCCCCTACCTTTCCTAAAGCCTCCTTGTTCATCTGCTATCCTATTCTCCGTCTTACACTTAATTCTTTCAATAATAACTCTACCATACACTTTACCAGGTAAACTCAACAGACTTCTTCCCCTATAATTTTTGCACTCTCTTTTGTCCCCTTTGCCTTTATACAAAGGAACTATGCATGCTCTCTGCCAATCCCTAGGTACCTTACCCTCTTCCATACATTTATTAAGTAATAGCACCAACCACTCCAAAACTATATCCCCACCTGCTTTTAACATTTCTATCTTTATCCCATCAATCCCAGCTGCCTTACCCCCTTTCATTTTACCTACTGCCTCACAAACTTCCCCCACACTCACAACTGACTCTTCCTCACTCCTACAAGATGTTATTCCTCCTTGCCCTATACATGAAATCACAGCTTCCCTATCTTCATCAACATTTAACAATTCCTCAAAATATTCCCTCCATCTTCCCAATACCTCTAACTCTCCATTTAATAACTCTCCTCTCCTATTTTGAACTGACACATCCATTTGTTCTCTAGGTTTCCTTAACTTGTTAATCTCACTCCAAAACTTTTTCTTATTTTCAACAAAATTTGTTGATAACATCTCACCCACTCTCAATAACATCTCACCCACTCTCTCATTTGCTCTCTTTTTACATTGCTTCACCACTCTCTTAACCCCTCTCTTTTTCTCCATATACTCTTCCCTCCTTGCATCACTTCTACTTTGTAAAAACTTCTCATATGCTAACTTTTTCTCCCTTACTACTCTCTTTACATCATCATTCCACCAATCGCTCCTCTTCCCTCCCACACCCATTTTCCTGTTACCACAAACTTCTGCTGGACACTCTAGCACTACATTTTTAAACCTACCCCATACCTCTTCGACCTCATTGCCTTTCTTCATTCCCATTACCCTCCAATAGCTTTTTATCTTCCCTAACTGCCCCCTCTTTTAGTTTGTAAACCTTCCCTCTCTTTCCCTGAGCTTCTTTCTCCTTTATCCCCTTTTCCTTTTACTCTCAGTGTAGCTACAACTAAAAAGTGATTTAAATCTGTGGCCCCTTATAAACATGTACATCCTAAGTTACTCAACGCTTTTATCCCCAAAACAAAACCAACAAACTACTGTCATTTCGCCCACATCATATCTGTATCTTATTTATCCTCTTTTTCTTGAAATATGTATTACCAAAAACTAAACCCCTTTTATACAAATTCAAAATTTTAATGAATTTGCCTCACTGTTGGTTCTTTAGCCTTAGATTTGAAAAGAATGCTGCAGTGAAAACCTAGTTACTTTTTTAATTTTCCATTTCAGGGTTGTTTACCTTCACTAGGTTTCACGGGTTTGTTGGGCCTGAGAAAAAAACATTGCTTGCTAGATGTGTAAGTAAATATTAGTCTTGTATTTATGCTGATATTGGGTTGCTAGCAGGGGTTAAGAAAATATGTCAATCTTATATGTATTAACAACCAAGCGTAAGTAAATGTATCAGTTTGATCCTTGCACTATATTTTAAAATAGTTTTTGGGAACAATGGCTTTTAACCCCCTTTTCCCCTGTTAAAATTTACTAAATGAAAAAGAAAAATGATTTTCGGGGGGGGGGGGGGGTCACCCCCTCGGTGGAGACGCTGGTGTGAAAAAAAAAAATTTCATTTTTTGTATTCGTATACGTATATGTGAATCTCATAAAAAAGAAAAAACTGCAATTATAACTATTTGCCCTCACGTACTAATTATTAAAATCATAAAAGAACAGGAATGTAAAGATTTTTTAATTGAAAATTTTACAATTGGGTGTTGAAGCACTGAAATTCAGATGGCCATGACGAAGTGTATAAGGGGAAAGAGGGGTTTTAAACCCCTTTATGGGGGGGGGCCGAAATAATTCGGTATTAATTACGTTTTTTTGGCGCGGGCATACTTCGCCCCCCCCGGAGCAGTTTCCCCTTCTTTAGTTCCAAAACCAAATCCAAGCCTTCCCTGAGTCTCTTCAGCTAAACATTTCGTTTCTGCCGCCCCCCCATTGGTTGGAGATCAAAAAAAAACACTAGCGCTTTTTTCGAACACACGCACATTTTTTTCCCTCCCCCTTGCAAAACTACTCTTGATTATATTTCTACAATGCGGTAAAAAACTGTTGTTGTGTTTAGTGCTTACATGAATATTTAGGCTTTTTATAATACCTAAAGCCCCGTTGAAGCAAAAATGGTGTAGATGCAGTTGAAAAAATGCATCTTTTTTAGCCCGAATTATTTCGGTTTGCGCGAGTTTCCGGGGAATGTCCAATTTTTAGCCCAAAAAAATATTTATAAAAAATTTTCAATTGCATATATAAACTCTGTAGTGGTTGGGATTTAACGGGAGGTTTCTATTGTCCTTCCAGTTCCATGAGAGGCTTTTTTTGGGGGAGCATCACCCGGGTGAGGTAAAACTGGTTTCTAAAGACAGTGACCAGAACCGAGGTAACAACCAGAATTGCGGATATGTTGATGAATATTTCCCAAAGCACGGATGCAGAGATGTCAACTGATATGGGAAAGAAAGGGGAAAAAGGCCACCCAAAAAAGCAAAAAAGTAATGAGGAAAAAAAAAAACTTTTAGGATTGGGGGAACCCCCGGATGAGGAAGAGATCCATGAAAAATATTCCTTTCAAGTTTCTTTTGAGGACCGTAGATGACATTGAAAATGATCCTTTGCCGGCAATAACATGAAAAGCCTCTTGCAATTAGGTTCCATTTTGTTTTTCTATTTTCTTTTACCCCAGCCATGAAATAACATAGTATATAAAACAATTTGTATACAAGGCAACAAGAAAATAGTACTTTTTCAACAGATTTGAAGAGATCAGAGGTTCATAGGTATTTTTTTTGTTCATGGTATAATTCACTACCACCCCCTCAAGACTATTGGAAAGCGGTTTTAGACCCAACAGTTGCAGAGGCAGGCTCTAAGAGGTTTGGGTCCCCTTAGAATCATTTCTTTTTCAATGCAACACAAAAAAAGGATAATGACAGATTCTACAAAGAAAGGCCCTCTTTACACTGAACAAACAATGCTTGCTTGAAATTCCAGCTCCCAAGCAATCATTGATGAAGTCATGGTTGGTTAAAGGGAAAAAAACTGCGGGAAAACCTAAGGCAGTACATAAAAACAAAACCAGATAAGTGGGGGTTTCAAATTTTTTTGTGTGAAAGTCAAATGGACTCATACATGTATACTCAGTATCAAGGCAAAACAACTTTTGACACACACCCCATCGGGCTGCCACAGGAAGAATGTAAATTTCCAATAATAAAAGATTGTTCTGGTCTTCACAACTATGAACAAGACAAAACACTCAGCAAACTATGCGACAATTTTTTTTTTAAGTATGCCTTTGGTCAAGCTCTAAAGATAAGTATAACTGCAGAACACTGGAACAGTAGTGACAATAGATTGGAACCACACTGGGGCCTATAAAAAAAATGGAAAAAAACGGTGGTAGGGGCAATTTTTGCTTCAACAACAATGATGGTGTCCTTGTTGTACGATGGAAAGGAAACCCCAAAATTGTGACTTTATGACAACTGAATTGGGGTCGAGCCATGGTCTTGTGAAGTACAACAAGGTAAAAGAAAAGAGAAAATATCGTCCCCGCACTCAAGAACTATAATTCAAAAAATGGAGGTATTTACAAAACAACATGTTGGGGGCACTCTACAAAAACCAAAAGAAATCAAAAGTTGGTACTGCGGCTATTTGCCTATATTTTTGAATTTTTGTTTAAAGCATGGGGCTTTATTGCCGTTATTCTCGAGCAATAAAGCAAAAGTGTATGCAACGAAGTATTTTAGGAAATTCTATCTCTGAAATTGCAAGGGCAAGGCAAAACCTTGGGGGCAGCCTAAAACAACTCCAAGACCTTTACCAACTAATTCACCCTGTACTTCCAATGGTGGGTTGGGATAGTGAAACCTGGGGGGGAACAGTGCAGAATTGCCTGAGACAGTGTTTTGGAAAGACATACTCTAATTTCACTTTCCAATGGCAGGGGAAAAGGGCCCTTTCTTGCAAGTATTTCAGCACCCGAAAAAAAAGGGAACACGATTCGTCTGTAGTGTATGCAAAGTAAATCTTGCATAAAGGGGCGATAGAAAATTTTTTCACAGACTTCCATCTTGCCCAAATTAGCAATATGAAATCATTGGTCTTCCAAATGAATCTCAGGAATAAGGGATTAAAAATTGCATCATTTGCAATTTGGCATTGTTGATATTTTTCTTCCTTTTTATATTTTTTTAATATTTAAAAAAAGTTTTGGGTAAAAGTTCCATTTAGTTTTTTATATTGTCTGTTTGTATATTAAATTTAAAAAATTGTTTTTTGGGTGTTTTTTTAACAAATTTAAGTTTCAACATAAATTTTTTAATCACTTTTTCGGGGCGCCAATATTTTCGGTCTTCGGAGATTGGCAAATGCTCGAAAACTAACCATCAGAAATAATTTATAGGGGGTCAGTGACCTTGTATTGAGTTACTCTATCCACCTAGGGAGTTTAGTTCGAATTTCAAATTTTTGGACCAATTGCGCGATGAAGGGGGTTTAAAAAAGGGGATATTAATAAGGTCTTGAGGATGTCTCTCCAAAGGAAACCCCCAGTAATGGATTTTAAAATTTGGGGAAAAAGGGGCACAATGCAAATAAGTGACATTTTTTGTGGCAACGTTTCGCTCTCCAGGAGCTTTATCAAGCCCTTACAAACAAAACATGGACACGAGGGTAATAAAGCTCAGAGTGAGGGGCAAATACGTGAGGTACCATTTCATGTTCACTATGGTAGTAGTAAAAAAAATAATACAATATGGAAAGGGAATTAATTCGTCATAGTAAAAGAAAAAAAAGCTATTACTTGGGGAACATAAAAAAAGGTTGGACAAATATAGACCGGAAAGGGCAGGTTTTTTTTTTTTTTGGGGTTTTACCCCCGTAATGTGCTTTTTGATTAACGGAGGACTTGTGATGGCGGGGTTTTTGTTTTCAGGGGGTTCTTGCTAAGACTTCGGGGAAGGTGAAGTGCCTTTGTTTTTTTAATTTTATTCGAAACACGTCAGTGCTATTCAAGGCACCCTTGGGGTTGCGGTTTGTTTTTCCCCTTTTATCATAATTGGGGGCTCTGAAATTTTAGAGAAATTTGGGGGAATTTTGGGGTTGTACACAGGCGTTTTTTAATTGTCCTTCCTCATGCTAAATTGTTCATTGAGGGGGTGTCGAGGTTTCTTGCTGTTTCACCTACGAGATCTTTCCAGCCTCCCCAGGTATGTGTAAATCCCCCATTGATTGGTTCGTGGGCTTGGGTTTTGTCCCGGTTAGATTCTTTAATTTAAATGGTAGGTGGGCGAAACCCGGTGTTAGCTTGTGAAAGTACTTTTGGAGTTTGTGCAAACCCGGCGGGGAAAATTATAAATTTGTTGGGGGCGGGGTTTAGCGTGGAGAATTTATGATCGAAGAGCTCTTTTCTTCAGTCTTTGAGAAAAAAGAAGGAAAAGGGGAACTCAGTGAATGTTTTGGGGAATGTAAGTACATTCCTCGTCAAGAAACTCAGGACTACAAATTCGGTATGCTCTTAGGAAAAACCCGATGATGATGCCTCTTTTGGTCTTGGTATCTTGACTGGAATAGAAGTGTGTGTGATCATTTTTATTGGTGGGTTTCCGATAAACTTGAAATCTTAGGTTGTTGTCTACTTTGTGAATGAGGACGTCGAGGAAAGGTAGCTTGTCATTGGACTCTTCTTCTAGTGTAAACTGAATCGCTGGTTCAACTGCGTTGAGCCTTGCCTGAAGATCCTGTACATCAAAACGTTTTGGAGTTATTACGAGGACATCGTCCACGTAACGTAACCAAGTGACGCTTGAAGGGATGATGTTGGCGAAGTGTTCGGACTCTAGGTGTTCCATGTATAAGTTGGCTAGGACGGCACTTATTGGGGACCCCATTCCCATGCCGTAGGTTTGTTTGTAGAGCTTGTTATTGAAAGAAAAACAGTTGAAATTAACACAGAGTTCAATCAAGTCAACAAAATCTCCGGGAGGTAAAGGAAGATTAAGGTCCTGGTTGACTTTACGTCGTAGAACCTCGATGGCTTTTTTGGTAGGTACTTTTGTGAAGAGGGAAGTCACATCCAAACTACTTAGTTTCTTGTTACGGATGGAGAGGTTACGGATGCGGTTGAGAAGGTCACCTGAGTGTTTAGGATGAGCGGGGCTGATGGTCCCCAGAAGGCAGGAAAGATGTTTGGCAAGAACTCAGGCGACCTTCTCAACCGCATCTGTAACTTCTCCATCCGTAACAAGAAACTAAGCAGTTTGGATGTGACTTCCCTCTTCACAAAAGTACCTACCAAAAAAGCCATCGAGGTTCTACGACGTAAAGTCAACCGGGACCTTAATCTTCCTTTACCTCCCGGAGATTTTGTTGACTTGATTGAACTCTGTTAATTTCAACTGTTTTTCTTTCAATAACAAGCTCTACAAACAAACCTATGGCATGGGAATGGGGTCCCCAATAAGTGCCGTCCTAGCCAACTTATACATGGAACACCTAGAGTCCGAACACTTCGCCAACATCATCCCTTCAAGCGTCACTTGGTTACGTTACGTGGACGATGTCCTCGTAATAACTCCAAAACGTTTTGATGTACGGGATCTTCAGGCAAGGCTCAACACAGTTGAACCAGCGATTCAGTTTACACTAGAAGAAGAGTCCAATGACAAGCTACCTTTCCTCAACGTCCTCATTCACAAAGTAGACAACAACCTAAGATTTCAAGTTTATCGGAAACCCACCAATAAAAATGATCTCACACACTTCTATTCCAGTCAAGATACCAAGACCAAAAGAGGCATCATCATCGGGTTTTTCCTAAGAGCATACCGAATTTGTAGTCCTGAGTTTCTTGACGAGGAATGTACTTACATTCACCAAACATTCACTGAGTTACAATTTCCTTCTTTTTTCATCAAAGACTGCAAGAAAAGAGCTCTTCAGATCATCAATTCTCCACGCATCAACACCGCTCCCAACAAAGTTATAATTCTTCCCAACAGCCAGGTTGCACTAAAGGTCTCAAAAGTACTTTCACAAGCTAACACCAGAGTCGCCATCGCTTCTACCACTTCAATAATGGATCTAACCAGGACAAAACCCAAGCACCACGAACCAGTCAATGCAGGAGTATACACTATACCCTGTGGAGGCTGTGACAAGATCTACGTAGGTGAAACAGCAAGAAACCTCGACACCCGCCTCAATGAACACATTTACGCATGTAGGAACGACAACTTAAACAATGCCTGTGTACAACACCGAAATTCCACCAATCATCTCATGAAATTCAGAGACGCCCAATTAGTGATCAAAGAAACTAATTTCCGCAGACGCAAGTGCCTTGAATCAGCACTGATCGCTGTTTCGAATACAATTAAACAAAACAACGGCAGCTTCACCATCTCCGAAGTCTTAGCAAGAATCCTCCTGAAAACAGTAAACCCTGCCATCACATAGTCTCTCCTGTTATACTACACAAAGCACATTACAGAGAGTGAACACCAAAAAAAAAAAAAAACCTGCCTCTTTCCGGTCTATATTTGTCCAACCTATTTTTATGTTACCTAAGTAATAGCTTTTATATCCTTTTACTCATGTACGAATTAATTGCTCTTCCATATTGTATTATTTTTGTTACTACTACTACTACTACTACTACTATCACTAGTGAACATCGAAATGGTACCTCACTAGTATTGCACCTCACTCTGAGCCTTTATATACCCTCTGTGTCCATGTATTGTTTGTAATGGCTTGATAAAGCTCCTGGAGAGCGAAACGTTGCCACAATAAATGTCATATTAGTTGCACTTGTGTCCTTTTACTTTACATATTGTTGGTAATTCTACCAACTTTATTACGATTTAAATTAGACAAGTTTAGATTTAGAAAGGACATAGGAAAGTATTGGTTTGGAAATAGGGTAGTTAATGAGTGGAACAGTCTACCTAGTTGGGTTATTGAGGCTAGGACTTTGGGTAGTTTCAAATTTAGGTTGGATAAATATATGAGTGAGAGGGGTTGAATTTGAGTGGGACTTGCAAATGAGTGGATAGAGTTATCAGAGCTTATTTCTTGGGTAGCATTGAAAATTGGGTTGGGCAAATGTTTTGTTAGTGGGATGGATTGTAAAGGACCTGCCTAGTATGGACCAACAGGCCTGCTGCAGTGTTCCTCCTTTCTTATGTTCTTAAATCATCATTGAAATATGGTATGGATGAGTTCGAAGTGTGTATAATTGATAGATAAATTATAAGTAATGAAAAAGGTCGCTGAATGAGTGTTAATTTATTAAATCCACATTCCTTTGGGTAGTAAGGGCAGACTGGCATACATGTATGCACTGATACTACCACCACTGTATCATCTACCACTGTGTCCTTTAGTTCACTGCCAGTAGCACTGCAAAAATATTACATTATACTTCAACAGTCTAATATCGTATTTAGAAATTTGGATTCCAGTTAAATATGAAAATTTCATTAAAATCTATTAGTTTTGGTCAATATTACTCCAATGCATTTTTTACAACGTATATTTTATATTTAGTAGAGAAAATGGAATTTCAAAGACTTGCTTGAGAAACTTCAAAAAACAATAAAAATATTTCTGAATACAGTGGAACCTTGGCTTACAAACTTAATCCGTTATGTGACCTTGTTCATATGCTGAGTCAATTTTCCTCATTTAAATTAATTGAAATGCAATTAATCCGTTCCAGCCTCTCAGGAGGCATGACATAATAAACAATATTAATAACATAGAAACATGATATATACTCTAGAATGAATAAAATAGGCCATAATATGGCGAGCGATAGTGATGCCAGCAGCGGCCTGCAGCATCCGCCATTTACTCTCCCACTCTAGTATCTTCCCAGTCCATAACCCCATACCTAGCTTGTGTTTATCTATGACTAGTGGTGAGGTTGTCACATATGTAACCACAGGTGTGTTCAAGACAGATGTATATGTAGGTGAAGACGGGGTGGTGGTGATGAGCTGCCTCACTCTCTGCTGCTGTCTTCTTCGTTTCTCTAGCTTTTTTCATAGTTTCACTTCCTGACCTTGCTGATCGTACGCGAATACTGTCTCTTTGGGCGAGGCATTGTGTAAGAAATTTGTACAATATAAGACAAAATTACGTGTCCCAAGGGTCTGCTGCGGTCACTCAGAGCGGCGCACCTCCTCTTCCTTTTGACCCTTGGTCGGCACTGAGATAGCCTGGTCTATTGTAGCAGCTGTACCTACAGTCACCCAGAGGGTTACCAATTTGTATTTTGAAGCATTAGGCATAAAAATATGAAAAAATATGAAAAATGTCTAAAAATGACATTTTTGGGTAGTTTCAAATTTAGGTTGGATAAGTACATGAATGGGAGGGGTTGGATTTGAGTGGGACTTTCACATCAGAGCTTATTTCTTGGGTAACATTGAAAATTGGGTTGGGCAAATGTTTTGTTAGTGGGATGAATTGTAAAGGACCTGCCTAGTATGGGCCAACAGGCCTGCTGCAGTGTTCCTCCTTTCTTATGTTCTTATTACTGGCTAGGTTGCAGCAACGGCCATAAAAAAATTCTTATGCCAGGGGTAAATGAAAATGGGGAACCTTTAATTGAGCTATGTGTAGAAAGAGGTTTGGTAATAAGTAATACATATTTTATGAAGAAGAGGATAAATAAATATACAAGGTATGATATAGCATGTAATGAAAGTTGTTTGTTAGATTATGTATTGGTGGATAAAAGGTTGATGGGTAGGCTCCAGGATGTACACATTTATAGAGGGGCAACTGATATATCGGATCATTGTTTAGTTGTAGCTACAGTTAGAGTAAGAGGTAGATGGGAAAAGAGGAAAATGGCAACAAGAAGTAAGAGGGAGGAGGAAGTTCAGGTGAGATATAAGCAGCTATTGGCAGAAAGGTGGGCTGGTGCAAGTATGAGTAGTGGGGGGGGGGGGAGGTTGAAGAGGGTTGGAATAGTTTTAAAAATGCAGTATTAGAATGTGGGGCAGAAGTTTGTGGTTATAGGAGGGTGGGTGCAGGAGGAAAGAGGAGTGATTGTTGGAATGATGAAGTAAAGGGTGTGATAAAAAGAGAAAAAGTTAGCTTTTGAGAGGTTTTTACAAAGCAGAAGTGTTATAGGAAGAGTAGAGTATATGGAGAGTAAAAGAAAGGTGAAGAGAGTGGTGAGAGTGCAAAAGGAGAGCAGATGATAGAGTGGGAGAGGCACTGTCAAGAAATTTTAATGAAAATAAGAAAAAATTTTAGAGTGAATTAAACAAGTTAAGAAAGCCTAGGGAATGAATGGATTTGTCAGTTAAAAACAGAGTAGGGGAGTTAGTAGATGGGGAGATGGAGGTTTTGGGTAGATGGTGAGAATATTTTGAGGAACTTTTAAATGTCGACAAAGAAAGGTAGTAGGTTGGTAGACAGCAACCACCCAGGGAGGTACTATCGTCCTGCCAAGTGAGTGTAAAACGAAAGCCTGTAATTGTTTTACATGATGGTAGGATTGCTGATGTCTTTTGTCTGTCTCATAAATATGCAAGATTACAGGTATGTCTTGCTACTTCTACTTACACTTGGGTCACACTACACATATATGTACACATTTATTTATACACACTCATCTGAGTTTTCTTTGATTTTATCTTAATAGTTCTTGGCCTTATTACTTTTCCTTTTATATCCATGGGGAAGTGGAATAAGAATCTTTCCTCCATAAGCCATGTGTGTTGTAAAAGTCAACTAAAATGCCGGGAACAATGGGCTAGTAACCCCTTTTCCTGTAAAGATTACTAAAAAGAATAAGAAGAAGAAAATTGTCAAAGTGGGAAGTCTGAATGTGTGTGGATGTTGTGCAAATGATAAGAAAGAGATGATTGTGGATGTTATGAATGAGAAGAAGCTGGATGTCCTGGCTTTAAGTGGAACAAAGCTGAAGGGGGTGGGAGAGTTTCAATGGAGAGGAATAAATGGGATTAGGTCAGGGGTTTCAAATAGAGTTAGAGCTAAAGAAGGAGTAGCAATAATGTTGAAGGATAAGCTATGGCAGGAAAAGAGGGACTATACATGTAAATGTATTAATTCAATGATTATGTGGAGTAAAATAAAGATTGGATGTGAAAAGTGGGTTATAATAAGTGTGTATGCACCTGGAGAAGAGTGAAGTGTAGAGGAGAGAGAGAGATTTGGGGAAATGTTGAGTGAATGCATGGGGAGTTTTGAATCAAGTGTGAGAGTAATGGTGGTTGGGGATTTCAATGTTAAAGTGGGTAAAAATGTTATGGAGGGAGTAGTAGGTAAATTTGGGGTGCCAGGGGTAAATATAAATGGGGAGCCTTTAATTGAACTATGTGTAGAAAGAGATTTGGTAATAAGTAATACATAATTTATGAAAAAGAGGATAAATATACAAGGTATGATGTAGCACGTAATGAAAGTAGTTTATTAGATAATGTATTGGTGGATAAAAGGTTGATGGGTAGGCTCCAGGATGTACATGTTTATAGAGGGGCAACTGATATATCGGATCATTATTTAGTTGTAGCTACAGTTAGAGTAAGAGGTAGATGGGAAAAGAGGAAGGTGGCAACAACAAGTAAGAGGGAGGTGAAAGTGTATAAACTAAGGGAGGAGGAAGTTCGGGTGAGATATAAACGACTATTGGCAGAAAGGTGGGCTAGTGCAAAGATGAGTAGTGGGGGGGTTGAAGAGGGTTGGAATAGTTTTAAAAATGCAGTATTAGAATGTGGGGCAGAAGTTTGTGGTTATAGGAGGGTGGGGGCAGGAGGAAAGAGGAGTGATTGGTGGAATGATGAAGTAAAGGGTGTGATAAAAGAGAAAAAGGTAGCTTATGAGAGGTTTTTACAAAGCAGAAGTGTTATAAGAAGAGCAGAGTATATGGAGAGTAAAAGAAAGGTAAAGAGAGTGGTGAGAGAGTGCAAAAGGAGAGCAGATGATAGAGTGGGAGAGGCACTGTCAAGAAATTTTAATGAAAATAAGAAAAAAATTTGGAGTGAGTTAAACAAGTTAAGAAAGCCTAGGGAAAGTATGGATTTGTCAGTTAAAAACAGAGTAGGGGAGTTAGTAGATGGGGAGAGGGAGGTATTAGGTAGATGGCGAGAATATTTTGAGGAACTTTTAAATGTTAAGGAAGAAAGAGAGGCAGTAATTTCATGCACTGGTCAGGGAGGTATACCATCTTTCAGGAGTGAAGAAGAGCAGAATGTAAGTGTGGGGGAGGTACGTGAGGCATTACGTAGAATGAAAGGGGGTAAAGCAGCTAGAACTGATACTGTGCTTATGGGAGATTCTAAAGAAAAATTGCAAAGGTTAGTGGATGAGTTTGGGAATGTGTGTAAAGGTAGAAAGTTGAAAGTGAACATAGAAAAGAGTAAGGTGATGAGGGTGTCAAATGATTTAGATAAAGAAAAATTGGATATCAAATTGGGGAGGAGGAGTATGGAAGAAGTGAATGTTTTCAGATACTTGGGAGTTGACATGTCGGCGGATGGATTTATGAAGGATGAGGTTAATCATAGAATTGATGAGGGAAAAAAGGTGAGTGGTGCGTTGAGGTATATGTGGAGTCAAAAAACGTTATCTATGGAGGTAAAGAAGGGAATGTATGAAAGTATAGTAGTACCAACACTCGTATATGGGTGTGAAGCTTGGGTGGTAAATGCAGCAGCGAGGAGACGGTTGGAGGCAGTGGAGATGTCCTGTTTAAGGGCAATGTGTGGTGTAAATATTATGCAGAAAATTCGGAGTGTGGAAATTAGGAAAAGGTGTGGAGTTAATAAAAGTATTAGTCAGAGGGCAGAAGAGGGGTTGTTGAGGTGGTTTGGTCATTTAGAGAGAATGGATCAAAGTAGAATGACATGGAAAGCATATAAATCTATAGGGGAAGGAAGGCGAGGTAGGGGTCGTCCTCGAAAGGGTTGGAGAGAGGGGATAAAGGAGGTTTTGTGGGCAAGGGGCTTGGACTTCCAGCAAGCGTGCGTGAGCGTGTTAGATAGGAGTGAATGGAGACGAATGGTACTTGGGACCTGACGATCTGTTGGAGTGTGAGCAGGGTAATAGTTAGTGAAGGGATTCAGGGAAACTGGTTATTTTCATATAGTCAGACTTGAGTCCTGGAAATGGGAAGTACAATGCCTGCACTTTAAAGGAGGGGTTTGGGATATTGGCAATTTGGAGGGATATGTTGTGTATCTTTATATGTGTATGCTTCTAAACTGTTGTATTCTGAGCACCTCTGCAAAAACAGTGATAATGTGCGAGTGCGGTGAAAGTGTTGAATGATAATGAAAGTATTTTCTTTTTGGGGATTTTCTTTCTTTTTTGGGTCACCCTGCCTCGGTGGGAGACGGCCGACTTGTTGAAAAAAAAAAAAGAAAACCAAAGAAAGGGAGGTGGTAATTTCATACACTGGCCAGGGAGGTATACGATCTTTTAGGAGTGAAGAAGAACAGGATGTGAGTGTGGGGGAGGTGCATGAGGCATTATGTAGAATGAAAGGGGGTAAAGCAGCTGGAACTGACAGGATCATGACAGAAATGTTAAAAGCAGGTGGGGATATAGTTTTGGAGTGGTTGGTGCAATTATTTAATAAATGTATGGAAGAGGGTAAGGTACCTAGGGATTGGCAGAGAGCATGCATAGTTCCTTTGTATAAAGGCAAAGGGGATAAAAGAGAGTGCAAAAATTATAGGGGGATAAGTCTGCTGAGTATACCTACTACTATCATTACGTGCTATATCATACCTTGTATACTTATCCTCTTTTTCATAAAATATGAATTACTTATTGCCAAACCTCTTTCTATGCATAGCTCAATTAAAGGCTCCCCATTTTCATTTACCCCTGGCACCCCAAATTTACCTACTACTCCCTCCACAACATTTTTACCCACTTCAGCATTGAAATCCTCCGCCACAGGTACTATCACACTTGGTTCAAAACTCCCCAGGCACTCACTCAACATTTCCCAAAATCTCTCTCTCTCTCTTTCCTCTACACTTCTCTCTTCTCCAGATGCATAAACACTTATTATAACCCACTTTTCACATCCAACCCTTATTTTACTCCACATAATCCTTGAATTAATACATTTATATTCCCTCTTTACCTGCCATAACTTATCCTTCAACATTATTGCTATTGCTATTGTTAAGTGAATGTATAGGAGCCTTTGAACCAAGTGAGAGAGTAATTGTGGTAGGGGACCTGAATGC